TAATAATAATAATAATAATAATAATAATAATAATAATAATAATAATATAAAGGAAGTGAAAGGTGAAGGAAAATAGCAATAATATTCTGATAAGTGTCTCTTGCTAAACAGTATTTTCTGCCCAGGGAGAATTCTGGTTTAATTCCTTAGACACTAAAATTGAATACCCAAATACCTCCTTTTATTTATTTAAAATAGCTGATCCTGGGTTCATCAAGCAAAGGTTTTTTACTTGTCTGGGCAAGGAAACTTTTGTTTAAGGAAAGAAATGATATAATTTTCCTCAGTGAGGTACTCTGAGTTGCTTCAAAGCTTTAATTATCTATTATTGGAAATGTTGGAGAAGGCGAAACAGCTGCATTACTTTCTCTTGGAAGATGGGAAGCAGGATCTCTGCAAGCTTCAAAACGGTGCTATATATTAGCAATAATTGAAACATCTTTTGGAAGAGCTGCAAAACCATTGTTTCCATATCTAATTACATATTGGTGGTTTAATCACTATTACTATCACTTCAAGAACAGTGATAGTAATAATTAAATTTTTATTCTTTATTCTTTACAAGCATAAATGATGTCAAATATTCTATTCTGTATTGATGCTGTTTCAGTTGTACTTATTATGAATTCACTTTTTCTGATATATATACAATTTTTAAAAAATATTCTATCTATTCCAAAATATTTTTTAAAAAACCTATTGAAACATGATTATGTATGCTGGTTCAACAATTTTTGAGTAGGTGTATAAAAATAATTGCTTCCTGGTATACATTATTTTATACCATTGAAATGTAGAAGACTAGTAATATGTATAGCAGCAGTTATAAAATTGTTTTTATTATAATGGATATAAACATAACTGTTCCCAAAATTTTACAGCCATGACTAAAACATGATGATAGTTATATTTGACACAAGGCTGTAAATGGGAAACATGAAGCTCTTCGGCTTATAATATTTATATTCTTAATTTTCCAAGCTTGAGAGGTGTGTCACGTGTGTGTGTCTCTGTGTGAAAATAAAAAAGATAAAATGCTTTCTGTCAAATGGAAAGGGTAATTCCATCAAATAATTTTCAGTAAATGATTTGACAGTTTTATGTAATATCTGACTTAGTAGTAATTTTGAAATGGGCAAACTCAAAATCATAACAGAAAATCACTGTAGATTGAAGGTGATTTTAGAATGAACTTTTATTATTCAAAAAAAAACCCTTATTAAAATATTCAAAACTATCACTATGGAAATTTTTCATAATAATATTTTATTTCCTCTTTGAAGAAATTGTGCTTTAACTATAATAAGGGAAATAGTATTTAAAATAAAAAAGATGACTAATAAAAACAAAGAAGGCTCAAGCATCATATTGCTTTGATTTCCTAATTTAACAGAACTTTTGAGAGTATGATCATTCAACATGATCGTCTAAAGCTCTAGCTTAGTAGCCCTTAATAGATAAATCAAGACAGAATAGTGCAAGCTGCTGGTTCCTAAAGGAATGCATTAGTTCAAAGCAAAAAATGTAAGCATAATTCTTAAGCTGTGTATGTAATGGGAAGACAATTATGTTAGGAGTCTTCTGTTCAGAAAGCCTTCTGTTGTTCAGAAGGCCAATTCCTTTTCATTTAATTCATTCTTAGAAATATGAAGATATTTGTTTGGCATTCAGATATGTATACCTAATGTGAATTTTTGAAGGCACGCTCTGAATGTATTGTAGAAAATATATGTGGTTTTATATCACTTGCGTTTTACTAGTATTCAGCTGTGTGCTGGATATCACTGGCACATACACTTCATATATCATTTATCATTTGAAAACCACATGAAAAAGTTTCCCCATTTTCAATATTGTGAGAGTAATGTTCCTAATGGAGTGAAGTTGTCAGTATAGTTTTTAAAGAGGATGACTTCATAATAAAACAGATCTGTCACTTCTAGCTTTATTTAGCTGACAATAATAGAGGAGAATATGAAGTTCTCTTTATATAGGATTATATGTATTTGTTGCACAGCAGTGTGAAAGTAAGCAAGGCAATTTTTGCTACATAATTTGAAAAGGGGTGCTCTTTTTTTAAAGATGGTTGTTCATTCTTAAAAGATGTTATTATATTTTATTATGTCCATGACTTCTGTTACTGAAGAAAGTATGCATAAAAGCGTTAACTAAGTATTTCTATTTTTTATACTTTATCAAAGCAGCTTGGTCTTCTTAATGTCATTAGTTTGACTTTGGTGCTGTCATCTTAAAGTAGTAAAGAAGAAAAATTAAATTAAATTCTAATCAAGACCATCCATAAACACTGCTGAGTTAATAGTGTTTTAAAATCTCATCAAATGATAATAAAGTATATACACCTATATAAGAAATTTCCTGCGTAAAAGGATGCAAAGTTTGTTGGGCATTTTAAAATCCCTATTATATTAAAGAGTTAAAGTATTAATATATGTGTGTATGAATGAGAGAGAGAAAGAGAGGGAGACATTTTATAAATATAAAGTTTACAATTTAATATGTGAATGTGGAAAAATGAATTCATGTATTAAGAGTGTTTATTTTGCTTTTACCCTAGTCTCGGAAAGGGAGTGATCCAGACAAAGAGAAGAAAGGATTGGAGAACAGAGCAGATAGTATTGGAAGCGGTCGTGCAATCCCAATTAAACAGGTACAACCTGTGTATGTGTGAATGATTTCCTGTATTTGGAGGTAAACCTTAGGTCTTAAACACCATGATGCTTGACTTCTGTGCCAAGATTTGTTTGATGTGCTGTGGTGATGAATGTTGAAGTCACTCACTTGACATCAATTAGAAGAGGTTCCTATGTGAATTAAAATAAGATCATTAGAATAAGAAGAGGGAAAATGTGACAACAGGCCTAATGAAGTGCAGTTTGCTGGCCTGCATATGGAGTGTGCTTCTAGGCTGAGCTGGCTTCAAAGTCTGTCTTTGTAGAAAATGCTTTGATTGGACCGTTTGCTGCCAGTCTACAAGGATAGATCAGATCAATGTACAAGAGCCCCTTGTGATCATAGAAATAGCCCGATGTGGCCCTCATTTGCTGTTGCAGAAGGACATCTGAACATTGTTCCAGATTGATTTTTAGCAATGAAGCAGTTAGATTTGAGTCAGCTGTGTACTGTTATTTGTAGTTTGCTAATAAAGAAATTGTAACTTCGTTTGGATGTTTTTATATAAGCAAACATTTACAGCTGTAATAGCTGATCTTAATTAAACATCCCTATTATACTATAGGATTTCAAACTAAGGAATTCCTTTTGTTTGTTTGACTAGTAGTATAACTGCATTAATGCCACATTCCTAAGATACTGAATATGAAAAGAATTGCATATAAAAATTCTGCTTGGATCTTATGAAATCATGTTTAACTGTTCTAACACTTAAAACAGTTTTCAATTTTTGCATCTCATACTCAGATCAGTAATAGTGAAATATTGAAGTCATATCCCTTTGTTTTCTGTTTTCTAGTTTTAAAAGCTTCCTATGATAAAGAAATTGAGCCAATCATTCCTACACAATTTCCATTGGAGAGAAGTGCAGAACTTCTAGTTGTAGTGATATGCTAAATATTATCAAAGATTTTATAAAAGATATCTTATTTTTTGCTTATATACTAAAGAAAGATTGGAACAAAATCTTTATAAAATTTGTTTATTAAAATGTAATGAACAAATTTATGAAACATCTGGTTCCATGGCCATTTATCTTCAATAATGTATATAAAACTTAAATGCTAGCTGTTGAGGAGTAATAGTGGAAGGGAGATATAGTTTTAAGTCCATGTTTTTTCCAGAGTTTTCTATTGTGTAATACCGAACGCTGGATTAGAGAGGCTCCTGGCTTGAACCAGCATGGTTCTTCTTCCTATTCCTGTTCTTAGGCTATGTTGTACAGTTCATTAGAAAATTCATTCTGTGATTATAGGAACGCCTAAGCAGCCTGAGGCTCATTACCAAAATTAGTTTTATTGTCAAAATCCACCAAGTATTTAGATTTTAAGCATCTGCATGGAGACAATAGTTAGGCAGTTCTCTAATGGCCTAAGTCTATCAAGGAAATAATGAATGGGTAAATTAAGGTATAAATCAGGAAATTTACCATAATTTCCCTATATCTGTAAAAAATGACTCATTCTGAGACCGACAATAATACTAATCTTTTCCTCTTTTTTCCTACTAACATATTACTGTTCTCTTTAATCAGTTCAGTTTACTCCCCATCCTTCAGTCTTTACAAGTAATATTTAAATTAATATAATACTGATTTTCACCTTAATTCAAAAGTACTAGCTGGCAGTTCCAGGATCTGGGTTGTGTTTCCAATTGTAAATGATGTAAATGTTTTCATCATTAAATATCCTTCCCTTTTTTATTGTATGCTATATGGTTTGCCGTTATTTTTTATTTAAGCCAAGGCACTTCTTGCTTCAGAGACAGACATGTCTCTGATTAGATGCTGCCTACCACTTGAGAGTTCTTGTTAAGTATAGTTATTAATTTGGCTGTAATAATAAAATAAGAAAAGATATTGTGTTTTCCTTCATCTCTAGATCGGAGGAAGATAAGCAATGTTAATCTGAATAGTACAGAAATTTAAGGCCAAATTTATTATGAAAACTGAAGAATTTAGAACTGTTAATCTGCATTCCTTATAAACATATGTAATTGTTATTGTTTTATGGAAGAATAAATGTCTAGAAAAGATTCCTAAAATTTCCTGCTGTATAAGAGCACACAAAGCACATGCTTTGTTTAGAATAACAAGTCTTTGATTTCCTATTTCCAACCTAGTATGGCATACAAAAAAAAATACAGATATACAAAAAATAATTTAACATTGTCAACTATAAAACTGCTTTCATTTTGGAGATAGGTTATACAATGTCACAAACAAAATTGCTTTTACTATAAAATTATATGGTTTTATACTTTTATAATGCTAGCATAAAATTATATACTGTAAAATTATAACCTTGATAGTAGATTAGCGGGGGTTTTCCTTCAGTATTAGAATATTTCAAAAACCAAGGCACCAGATATGTATGCATGCATGTAAAATGTATTTAGGGGTCAAGCCTCATGTACTGCAGAATATACTCATTAATGATAGTGTGACAAGTTTAGAGTAAGTGCTAGATACAAGTAAGTATATACTAGTATATACTAGTATCCCATCTGATCAGAACAATACTTTGTTTTTAAAAATGATTAAGTATGAAGTTGCAGCAGGATTTACTGCAATACAGTGGTATATGTTTTTTTTTAGCAAGAGGAAATATGTAACTTACCAGTCATATTTCACAAGCACACTATGGCTAATGCTTGTACCATTTTGTTAGATTTAGACAAACAACCAAGTTAAGATAAGCAGAAAGGAAAAAATAGATGCGTGTGAAAGAAGTGAGAGAACCAAAGTTTGGGAATCATTGATGGATGTATCTTCAGTAAAACAGTTAGTTAACAACCTTGTTCCATAAATGTTAGATTTTCACCCAAAAAATAATTTGCCAGTTATCCCAGGATAAAGATGAGTTATTGATTTCCCCTCTATATTTTATTGGTATAACTGGAACATACTAATAACACTGAATTGAATACTATATGTAAAAGTGCAGAAAAGTGCCTGTTGACTCTTGACCTGTGCTGTTTCCACCAATGACAGTCTAGAATGCAAGTTTTGAAATTCTTGTGAATTTCAGGTGGATTTTCCTACATCTGACAGAAAAGAGCTGATGTTTTTGACCAGATAAATCATAAATAGTATTTAGTATGCAGACTCAATAAGGGTGTTTTTAAATATTATTATTGCTAGGTAATTACGTATCTCATTAAGTTATTTGTTTTACATCCCCATCTTTATTATTTTGATAAATAACTCAAGGCGATGAAAATATCCAACACACCTTCTCCTCCTTTTTCTACACAACAGTAACTGTGTGAGGTCAACCACCTGGCTTTCATGGCTAAGGCAGGACCTGAACTCTCAATGTCATCGTTTCTAGCTTGGTGCTTTAACCACTAGACCAAACTGACTCTAGTTTTTTAAAATATCTTAAAAATCAGTGTTCCTTTTTAAAACAATACTTTCTAATTTGTGTCAAACTTTCTAAAAAGGAGTGGAATGTTTCACTTATTCTAAGTACATATATGCCCAGTCTTCTTGGAGTTAGATGGCCTTAACAAGTACAATAAATAAATAACATATATCAAACACAAGGTTTGTTTTTCAAGCAAGAGTCCTTTCAAACATCAGCATATTTTGGCAAGATATCTATATAAAGCTAAAAATCATTTGGGAAATATCTGATTTCTACGGTTCGTGAATTAGGTTCACGTAGAACACTTAATTAAATTAACCAGTTTCTGGGTTCATAAACCAACCAAAGATGCTGGATTTCACATAGCATGCTAAAATATGAAGAAAATAGCCAACCTTAATTCTAACTAAGTTTGGAATCTTGAGTGGATGTAGCTTCTGTGTCTCTAAATTATGGTGTTACACAAATGTATTCATGTACCGATTAGAGCTTGTTTAATGATCAGTTAGTCAGCAGTCATTCTAAGTTATGATAATTCCTCCCCCCAAAAGCTACTTATGACCACATTTCAAAGTTGCAGCAGCACCCTCACTGTTATTTGCCCTTATGACCTTATGTAGGGATGCTACAGTTGTTGGGCAGTTGTTGTGCAAGTACCAGTGGGGGCTTCCTGTATTTGAGTCTTCCAGCTGATAAATGAGGAAGGTCAGTATGAAGGTAAGAGTGAGTTGTTCATATTTTTTCTGTATTCCCTCACTAGTGCATCTTGCCTGCCATGCTATATGGTTCAGAACAGGAAGCCAGCAAGATAGGGTGGTTTTAATATATCCACTTATAATCCTCATAGTGTCATTGAGTCTGGTGTCTAACTTACTAGTATGGCAGCTGTTGAGCCATACAGGGACACAGTATTCTACTGTGGAATAGACCAACCTGTTGTGGTTAGCCGGCAGCAGGTGTGGACGGCTGAGGAGAGCGAGGACTCAGATGAGGGGCCAGGACTATTAGGGAGTGGACTGCTGCCTTCAGAGATTGTGGGGGCTGGCAGCAGGGATGAGGAGGTTCCCGAGCAGTCTGTGCCAAGTGCGTGTGCGCACAGGGCTGCTCATAGAAAAGACCAGCTGCAGCAGCATGGGCGACTCAGGAGTAAAGCCGCAAGGTAATGGCCCCTCCTTCAAGAAAATAAAAGCCAGCTGTGAATCAGACATTCTTTGCAGGAAGCAAAGACGTTTTGAAACTCGAGCCTCGTGGACATTGCAGTATCTTAGTTGGAATTTGAAGACTCTTGAGTTGTAAAATATTTCCAGGTAGCCTTATCTGTTATTTTTGGCAGGCTTGCACAGTTTTGGCGAGGCTCGTGATTATCAAAGTTAATTAGTTTGCAGCAGCCTTTCAACTGGGGATTCGTAAGAATCATTAAAAGGTTTCTGTTCCCTTTAGTTTGTGTTGGTTTTATTGGACAAGGGTTTGGGTCAGAACACAACTCTAGTGCTGATGACCTGAGGATGGCAGTTGAAGCTCTTCATTTAATTCCACATAATTTGTGGACTAAGTTGTTCCTAGTATTGGTTTTTGCCACCGTATTCTCTAAGTGTATCTTGTAAGAGAA